GGAAATAAAGCTGAAGTACGACCTCAAAGTTTTTGAGAATGATGACCGTAACAAAATATTAAGATGACCGTAATCGAAGTTTATTCCGTGAAGAGGGATGACCGTAAATTTATGATGATCGTAATATCAAACAGAAAGCGTCAAAATAAAGATTTGAAGTGTACACGTGTCAAAATATGATAAACATGCGATCGTGCAATTTGAAATTCATTAAATACCCTTAACAGTTTAATGAAATATAGTAAGAGTTTACCGATTTACATGGGCTGAAAGTCTGTCGAAACAGAACAGGGCACCGAACATTTGATTTTTAAGAAGGGGGGGGTTGACAGATTTTCTAATCTTCTGCTTGGATAATTATGTCTACATTTTAAGACAGCAAAATCAAAAATCCAGAACTCTTGCTAATAATTGTCTATTGGCACTCGATTAAAATGAATCAGATACTAACAAAAAGTATTGGAAGGACCGAATTTTAGGATTATAGAAAAACAGGTTTTATTGTCTAGGGAATGGCTGTTCAATCACAAGAGTTGGCATACCTATAAATTTTACCCAAATTTTCAGTAAATAAAAAAAAATTAATACACTATACTATAAAAATAACAATTACAGGAGTTGGGATATCTATCAATTAAACTAAAATTACAAGTGTTATCATTTTACTGAAAATTGTTATTATTGTAGTATTTATATTTTTTATTTACGGGATATGGAAAATTTAGGGGAAATGATAGGTATGTGTCCTTTTTGACATGTTTTATTGCTTTCTTACAAAAGTCGTCCTGTTACAAATTTTATTTAAGAAATAAAATATGTCAGAAAGGCCATATTCCAACTCCTTCAAATAATGATAGCTAACTCTATTAAACTCAATTCAATTCAAATCTTTATTGCCTCTGAGTTGTACAACTCATCGGGATATCACAAAATGTGACGGGGGGGTTGGGGGTTGGTTGGGGGGGGGGGGGTTAGTGAGGCTGCTTCCTTCCACTTTTTTAAACATAACTTTTTACTGTAACAGTTGAAATGTTTATTGAAAGGTTGGTTGCCCTCCCCCCTTTTTTGGCAGTATAGTTAAATAGTGATACTCTGGTACTTTGTGAATAAAATTTGATTGTGAAAGAAGAAACCAAACTCCCCCACCCCCACCCCCAACACACACACATTCAATAAAGGATTTTTCAAATTTGGACAATTTTCCTTTCTTGTGACATGACCCGGCGAGTTTTCCTTTGAAGTCAGCCGTACAATAACTGCGATACAGAATACTTTTAGTGGGCGTTTCTTATGCAAATAAGCAGAAACTGTTCTGTATCTGCAAAATATCAACGATACAGTACGGTTTATTTCTAGCGATGACGGATAACTGAATCCGTATCTTAAATGATATAGACATAAGAATCAATCAAATCGCATGATAGCGCTGTTAGTATTTATTCAAAATTTGAGATGAATTAAGAATAGAATTTTACAACGTAAAGTTACCAGTGGCGGATTCAAAAATTTTAGAAAGGAGGGAGTCGGGGCAGTACACAAATGGTTTTCTTCGAAAAAAAAAATGTCCAAACTGGAAAATCGGGGGTTTCGTGGGGGGGGGGTAGATTCATAATCAGGCCTGACACTATATGTGCGTGATCGTTTCGTGTTTATAAATTAAAAGTGTAATATACAAGTTTGATTTAGCAAACATAATTTACGAAAGCCAAACAAGAAAAAAAAAATCTCGAAAGGGGGGGGGGGATACCGACGCGCGCGAGTGAGTGCTGGATCTGCCTTTGGTGCCTCTACATTTTGTTTCTAACATGAAGGTAATATGTCCCCTTTCTTACATCTGTTTATTTCAATTTGGAGCCAAGAATTTTGTATACACATGTATGACGACCGGTCGATGACATTGTCGGACTTTCTCTCAGAATACAACCTCCCCGAAACATTTTTGCTTCAAATACATTCCCATTTATGATTCTTATGTACCAAAATGTTTTGCACTAAATTTGTAGCTTAGATTTTAAAAAAAAGTGAGCAAGAGCGAAATAGAAAGGAAAAAACCTACGCAATCAAATATAAATTAAATTTTGGGAAAACACATTATATAATGCATCTCCTAATTATAATTAAATCAATTGATAGATACCTGCACATCCACCTCACTCGACATTTCAGTTGCGATTGCTAAAACTGGGGTACTAAATCGACTTTCTGCAAAATCATCTGATTAGTTGAGAGATATATACCCAAATACACATGTAAATTAGCGAGGTCATAAGAAAGGTCATGTCACAAGTCATTTAGAATACTCGTTTCCTACTGTATCGGAGATACAGGGCGGGGCCCGGCTCGAGCTATCGCTCTCGCCTTAAGCCCCGCCCTGTATCTCCGATACAGTAAGAAACTCGTACTCTAAATATAACTTATTTTGCTTGTCAAACTTTCTAAGGTAATTTTACATTTTACCCCCCCCCCCCCCCTTTTTTTGAAAAAAAAAAAAAAACGATACTGTGTGCCTGCAAATAAATTCTATTCTGTTGAAATATATTATATGAGATATTATAACTGCTATAACTTTGAGGTAAAACTTTGCGAGCCCTCCAGTTCGTTTTCCGTAGTATCTCCTTGATTAACATAGTTAAGTTTAATTTCTGATATTTATGTAGGTCAATTTTAATGGTTAAAAACGATATATCACAATGACCGACTGCCTTGTTTGAATTTAATAATATATTATACATCGAAATAACACTTCCTAAACAGAATTTACTCTGATTTTTTTTTTTTCACGCTATTTCCCAGTTATACGATCGCTTAATAAACGATACATGTCGTTGACGATCGCCTCGCAGTTGTCAAAGTTTCCAATTAAAAGTTGTTTTGATGCTAATGTATACAGTTTTAATTTTAAAATGTTTAGTTCATACCTCTAAGAATGACCTTCAATGTTGATAGATGATAATAATCTAAACTATCTCAAAGCATGAAAATTCGATGTTTGGAGCATTGTCGATTTGATCCGTAACATTTGCACAGAAATTATTTTACAAATTTAATCTGGGTGATATTTGCCCGAATTAAATCTTTTCTAGCATTATTTACATGTACAGTTGGTTATACTCCAGCACATACAAAACTGCTTTAACTTATTCTTTACGATATTTTCTTCAAGTGTTGCCGATCACATCAGAGTTGTTTACAGGGGTGTTGTGACACGACAGCTGTGTTTTTCTTTGAAGTTTACTCTTCTGTATTAGCAATACAGAACGGGTGTATGGTGGGTTGAGCTACTTTCCGTTCTGTATTAGCACTGTATACCGTATTCTATTAGCCAACTATTCTGTATCTAAAATACAGCACGGTCTAAAAATAAATCTGATTCAATTTATTAAAAAGCACGTACAAGTTTGTAAACGCTGAAGTTTTTCTATCATAAATTTTGGAGAAATATTTCCCTGGGAATGAAAAATGTCAAAAATTCTCAATCACTTTTAAAAACGTATTCCACACAGAATCTACACGTAATTTCGATTGAAAGGAAAATTCACAATAATGGAAAATACCACTCTCCTCGTGCAAACTCGTTCAATTAAAAATTTCATCTTAAATCCTTATCGCTGACGACAACCGCACGTCTCTTTCACTACGTTTTTAATGTCGCAATTCAATTACAAAATAAAAATCTGTGGCATCAAAGTTCATCGAAGAGTTTTCTGTATATCCTGTTTTTGTAAATCTAGTTAAACCAGGATTTTAAGATCCCTGAAATATATTATGATCAATCTCCATGTACAACAAACCACAACAACTACTGTTAAATCCTCCACCTTATCCATTAAGACTGACTATCACTCGATTCAACTACCCCATTTAATTGTCAAAACTGATCTGACCGAATCTTACGTTTTCCGTGGAAATATATATACTGCGGATGTATACTCCCCATCGAGGCCTCATCTACAGAACTCTGACGGAAGTTTGGATGCTGCACAGTTATAAAGTGGGCGGAGCTATTTTTCTTTGATTGATCGTGTCACAAATCATTTAGAGAACTCGACAGGTTCTGTATCGTAGATACAAATTTGGGGGTGGAGACTCGTGCTACGCACTCGTCCACCCCAAAATTTGTATCTACGATACAGAACCCATCTCGTTCTCTAAATAATACTTATAGAACATGTAGAATTGATGTTAAATAAGATATAAAACATCTAACATGAATTTTGTACAAAGATTACGGTCATCTATATAACTGTTTTACGGTCATCATCTTCTCGCTGGAATGTGTTTGTTACGGTCATCATACTGCAAAATTTCGAAGGCCTTTTATCATTTCATTTTCTTTTGTTTGGGTAAACAACATCTACTGGTGTGGAGATAACATCGATGTTCGTTTAACCAATACCTTAAATTATTCAGTTTTATTGAATAATGTTTATAATCGCCGTCGAAAATTTTCAACCGATCATCTCAGCCGACATGTTTTGATGACCGTAAACTATATTACGGTCATCGGCTTTCCTACAGTGCACTTACTCACCAAAAGAAAAATACTTTGGCTCTTTTGCTCATTATCTATCTTTTTTGGAAACATTCCATTTTCAGCAATACATTTGAGAATGTGGGCAGACCTATAAAAAATGCACCAATCAGATTCTTTGTTGGATTTTGCAATGGTATGTCAGTCAGATTTAATTGTGTTTCAGTCAGACTGAAAAGTGTCGACACTCAATGCATCACTATTACAGTTGTAGTGTATACTTTCAAGCAAGATTTGCGATAAATGCTTCCATACCTCTGTTAGTGTATGCAGTGTTTTGAATATTTGTATACCTCTGTGTGTGTAGTGTTTTAGATGTCTTCATACCTCTTAAGACTGTGTATAGTCTTTTAAAAAGCTTTCCTACCTCGGTGAGAGCGTGTACAGTGTTTTGTATGCTTTCCTAGCTCTGTGACAGAGTGTGTACAGCTTTCCTACCCCTTTGACAATGTGTGTACAACTTTCCTACCTGTGCGAGAAATGATGTAGCTGGTCCACTGTCTCTGCGTTTTCCTGTAGTCTATCGTCCAGACTCAGCGCCATCTGCTGGGCTTGATACACCTCCTCCTGTAATTTCTGTTACCAAGAACATCTAATTTTATCCATTGTTATTTTGTAATAGTTATATAATGCATAGTTTTCAGCATAAAGTATTATCTGATCACTGACAGAAAATCATTCTATATCTATTTTTTCTTTACCTAATTTTTATAACAAACGCAATTTTTTTTGTTTTATTTTTGATTTTATCTAGATTTTCCTTAAACACTCAACACAATACATTCTGAACTTAAATGAAATAAAGCAGGGCAAATCAGATATTAATTTTATTCCAAAAAGTTTTAATTTATAAAGTTTCCTAAATCTTCATTTTTTCTTCTTTTTTGAAAGACAAGTCATTCTCTTGTCTCTTTTCTAATCAGATTTATTAGATTTGTGTAGATCCTTACTTTGTTGTTGTTTTTCTCAATGTCCAGCTGTGCCTGTTTGTCTGCCAGTGAGTGACTTAGGACCACTATCTGGTTTTTAGCAGAGGTGAGCTGATTCTGCACATCTGACACCTAAAACACAGACACATTAAAAAAAGTCATTATTTATACTTTGATTGCCAAAACTCAAGGTGCTTCTAAATATACTGACAATCTGTTTTCTTATTTTTTCTTTTTCCTGTGGAAAAAATTAAGTCCTACAGAGTACATTTTGATTTGTAAGAAATATGTGTGTAAAATAATATTCGTAACATCACATGACTTTTTCCACTGACTTTATCAATATCAGACCTTTTCCTGCCAGTTCTGGTCATCCTTTTTCTGGACAATGGATGCTGATTTCTGTTGAACAAGTAGTTCATAAACTTTTTCTCTCCATCTGCAAGAAGTTTGGATTATTAATTAGTAAAATATAGTGACTCTTTAAATCATTAAAGTTATAAATGTGATTAAAAGGGAGAAAACTCTTCCCTTAAGAATGTGACACACACCTGGTAAGAAGTAAGCTGTCTTGTTTTGTTTTATCATGTTTTTCTTTGTTGGCCTGGAAAATAAATAATAGGTAATGATCAAACAAGAGACATATGTTTTTCCCATTCACAGCACCCATATCTACTGAAGGAGGGGGTGTTGGTAAAATCACTGACATATACCTCAATATTTTACATGGTTCAGTGATATTAATACAAATAATAAAAGCTTTACCCTTGATAGCTCAGCCTCCTGTAGATTCATTATTTCTTTCATTGAGTTCAACCTAATGTTCAACAACTGTAAATTAGACTGACAATTCTCCTTGTCTATCTCACAAATCTGAAATCAGTAAAATCACTTGAAATAAACTCATTTTACATAACTCTGACTCAAATTTAATCAACTGATACATTAAAAATTAATTCCATTCACACAATCACAATTCTTCAGAATGCCTCTGTATAATGCATATCTATAAAAAAGTGACACATAATTTTGATGTAACAGTTGACTAGCCACAGACCTTGAGTCGATTTTCCAGTGTCTCTTTTTCTTTCCTCCAGATTTCTACAGGTCTAGGTACAGATTCAGATTCTCCTATGTAATTCTTCAGCTGTATAACTTGCCTTGTTTGGTTCTCTAATGTCTGGTTTTTGGATCTGTCAGATAAATACATACTAATATACATGTTTATTGCAATACTTTTCAAACACAAATAAGAAGTGAATCTATCGGGTGCATTTGATTTGGGGATTTGTAACCCTTACCTGAGTTCTGCCTCCAACTCCTCCACTCTCCTGGATAACTTTTCATGTGTCTCCCTTAACTGACCTTCCAGCTCTTCTGACCTTGACTTTCCCCTTGACAAGGTCAAGGACAGCTCATCCCTCAATCCTTGAATGATACCTTCCAGTTCTTCTATCTGTCGCTGATGATCGTAGCTTAGTTTACCGATTTCTGTGTCGTATCTTTCCTCCTGTACCTTCACTTCGGCCGATAATTCGGCACACCTCTGAACATGTTCCCTTTCTCTGTAGGTGTGTTGCTTCTCCATTTCTAGCAGTTCCTCCTTCTGTTTAGATTTTAGAGCCTGGATTTCTTTCTTTAAGTCTGATATTTCACTGCTCTGTTTGATTATTTCATCTATATATTTTCTTTCTTCATCTTTGGAAATATCATCTTTAAATCTGGTTTCCTGTTTGAAAATAATAAATAAATGATTATTTCTTCTACATGGCCGTTTTTTCCACATCTTGTAGTAGTTTTTTTATGCTAGTATATTTTCTGTATCACATTGATGTGTAACCTCTGTAAGTTTACTTAACTTTCAACAGATTAAAAAGTTGCATAAAACACTACTCTTTGGTTCAGTTGTAATTCATATAAATAAAGTCATAATACAGTACAATGTATTAAAACTTACATATTGTGGAATAAACTGTGGTAAAGGTTTCCTCTCCCTGAAAAATATTGATAATGACAATGAAAAGAATGTATAAGAGTGTGAAAATGGTCTAAACAATAAATTGTGAAGGTTTTACCTTAGTTTCTGGTTTTCAAGTTTAAGCTGCATAACTTCATTAGTAGCTCGAGCAAGCTCCTTCCAAGCTGCATCCACAGTGTGTGTCTCAAAAGCTGATGGTGGCAGTAAATCTACCTTCTCAGTGTCTGCATATACCTCTGTAACCAAAATCATATACTATATACTGTAACAATCACCAAGTCTAACGATGAGAATATGATGCTCTCTCTCTCTCTCTCTCGATTTTCAAATCAATTGATAGAGTTTAATAGTAGCATTTTCCATTTTATTAATCCAGAATGTATCCTATTTTCTTTCTCAATTTCACAAAAAGTTAATTATTTGTGCTGATTTTAAATGGAAAATATATCTTGAGAATTAATCTATCTCTGTGCAGAGATATAAATAACAGAGATTCATAACTCTGCCATTAGCGTTTATTTACTAAAAATTTGACAGTCCCAGCAATTACTCTTTATTGGTTGTTCATTTCGATCTAAAGTTAAATTAATATTAATTTTATCATATATGGGTGTATGATTTTTTAAGTTTTGATACTTTATATCGATTATAAAAAGCAAACTAGAGCAGTCAACATTTGGAAGTTGGCAAAATCTCAGAGATAGGCCAACCACAGGTCTCCTGTTGGTATTTCTGATTTCTCATTTGTTGTTATACTTAGGAAAAAAATAAAAGTCTTGTTTCCTGCTACCAGCTTGAAAAAAATAGGGTAGGTAGGTAGGAAAATTATTTTATTTTATTTTTTCATTTTATTTTTTTCTGAGGCATTTTTTGGATATGAACTAATACAAGATCAAATTAAACATGTCACAGGTCAATATTGTCTTTTAAAATTAAATTTCATGCCTTTTTTATGCACAACTCAAGGGTATTTTATGAAAATCCATATTTTAAAACAAGAATTTCATGAAATGCTTGTTTTGTGTTAACACCGAAACCGATTACGGCGACAAAACGATGAAATACCGGAAATTCCTAATTTTTTTTCTTCCAAAACTAAAAAACACTTTAGGGTCGGGTGCAAAAAAATGGGGTAGCAGGAAACAAGACTATTTTTTTTTTTTGCCTTATGAATGCGGGTTGTTACGTCTGATTACATGTTCGACTCGATTAGTTAGACCCAAATACATGTTCAACCTGAGTTGTTTCATTCAAAATCAGAAAGATTGATATTAAACACTTAGTGGATAATTAAAAATTCTTCTATTAAATTTTTTGTCTGCAAAGGAAAACTTTTATTTTACCAAACAGGTTTTCTTGATGGCTTTAACTGCGACACTCAAAGATCTCTCGAACTAAGTCTTCGGTCCTGATTTTTTCTCCTATATAACTAGTAAGCAAATTAACCGTTACTCTCAGTTTAGAACTTCAAAACTCTCGAAATCCTTGATTTCTCGAAGTCAAAATGCATTCCTATAATGCATATTCTATTTTAATTTACCCTTGATACCTTGAAGTGGCAATGTGTACCCAAGCTTGACTTAATTAGCACAAACACTCAGAGGACTATACATTATACATAAGAGGGATGAAACCACTTGGGTCGTAACTGCGTGGGTTGAACATGTAATTGAAACATGACCACCAGATACCATATTAAATAGAGAAACTTACAAAAATACAACATTCTAAATAGTTTTTTCACATGAATAAAAAGGTTCTACTTTGTTATCCCTGTTAATTTTAATGATTTATGTGAATTAAATGGTGCAAGATTTGAAAAGTAAAAATAACAAAAGGGTGTAAAAGAAATTGTGAGATTTTGAACAGTTGTGAATCTCCCCTATATTTATATGTCTCTGTTTTATGTCTCTAATGTGAGTCATGTTTTAATCTGTATCTTATAGAAATGAAAACTAGATGACAAAAGTTCTTTTCTCCGGTATGTTCAGATAAAGTTTGCAAGATGAATATTTAGCAATTAATTAAGCAAGGTAAAAAGAAATTGGTGTTCAAATTACGTGTATACGTATACGCAATCAAAAATCAATTTCCCAAATGAATAACATTATCTAACATAAGTTATTTTGCGCGTTGACATAGTAAACAATGTGAGGACATTCGAGTTAAAAAAGCAACATGTTCGATCATGACAGAAATGTGCAAAATTATTTCCAAACTCCATGATTTAGTAGTAATCGAGTATCATTTAAGCTTAAACTGGTTTATTTTTTCTTCTGCTTTCTGTAAAGCATGCAATATAGTACAAGTTTAACGTACCTTTCTTCTTTCCAGGAGCGAAGTCGGACGGAGGATTTAATTTTGACGCCATTACTGACTGGTTCTCCTCCAAACTAGTGCCGACTTGTTTCACTTTCACTTTACTCACAAGCATTCTCTGATTGCATGGCTCATGGTGAAGTTAGAGACTGTCTAAGATATTCAGAAAAAAAAAAACATTCAAAAAATAAAATTGCTATTTAAAAAATCTGTATCAGGCTATCAGCTGTCGAAACCAAAAAAAATCTTGCACACGAGTTTTGCCATAGAAATGAAAAAAAAAATAACACTATAAACTGTTGTTTATGACAGTCATATGACCTCCACCATGGAAGAGAATCAAAATTTTGACAGCGATTTGTGGAGAAAATGGAGCAGAGAGGTATAATACTTTAGAGAATTAAAAATATTGTATTTGTTGAAGTATATGATTCCACTCAAACGACAGAATCCTGCCTGTCATTTCTTATCTGCTATGGAACTTTTTTAAAAAAAATTTTTTAGCTCACCTGAGCCAATTTATATAAATACATTATAAAGTTATATCAGGCATAAATCCATTTTGCATCAGAGGGGGCACTATAAGATGGCAGGGGGTTTGGGTCAAGGTTCCCAGTAGATCAAGGACTGTAGTGTCTGATGGAGGCCAGGGGTGATACCCCAGTAAGCTCCTTACGAATCAGCAACTAGACAACCTTGACTTAATTAACATATGAATGATGGTAATTCCACCCTTATTGAATTGATGTAGGGTTTAGGACTGAAAACTACTTAGTAATTTTTTTTTAGTGGTGGCACATGCCAGAAGTATTCCTGCCTGCATATAATGCCTTATAATTAGGTAAAAGGTCTTAAAATATTTCCCAAGGTGCAGGGAACTGCTCATTGTGTTTGAGTGCCTAAATGAAGCCAATTCCTGAGAGCAATTGAACACAAGCTGTTCCCTAAGTACTGAGGAAAATCTATTCTGATCTATTGCCTGATGAAGCATTTGATAACTGTGTTATTATCTGTTATTACAGGCAAAAATGAAAGAGAATAATTATAAAAGTTACAAACTAGTATTTGGAGTAAAATAACACAGCATGAGCAAGAATAAGCTGCAATCCTGATGATGTCACAATGCTTCTGAAATGGGGATGACATCATCAGTCAATAATGAAAAGTCAACTAGGGGTATGAAAGAGATTTCCTAAATGTGACAGAGTTCTTTATATAAAGCAAGGTTAACTGTATAAAATATAGCAAAGAAAGTGCCCTGAAGTAATTTAAATTTGCTGTCAAAATCAATTTTTGATAGCTTAAATTAGTTTGCAATTGCTGAGTAAGTGGCATGTGGGTATATACCTGAGGTTCAGTACCCATAAGTGCTATTTTTTTTCTTGCATATATTATGATTTATTAGTGAAACTGTTAATCGCTGTGTTGATTTACCATGGTATTTTTTTGTTGGTTTGGAACATGGTAAAAAATCTCTGTTTTCTGTTTGGTTCTTTTTTTAGTCTGGATTGTTATTCAGTGAGAATTGGCATTGGTGAAAGCACGCTACAAACATGACTAAATTTTAAAAACTGGTCAGATTTTTTAGGACTAATAGTTTGTAGAATAATCATTAATAGTCAATTCATTCTAATCAATATCATCTAGTCAATTTTCACTTAGATTACGTTACTGGTTTTAGTGAAACAAGACTTAAAACAACTTTGAATTTGTTTCCTCCTTTTAAAATGTATCGTATTGAAAATAACCGAACAGAGACAAAATTATACAATATGTATCATATCATGAAGGAGGCGTATCGTTTCACCTCTACTTTATAGCTTTATAAAATTTTCCAAGTCCTGTTCCAGTAGAGGTATACTGGTATGGGAAGAAGAACTTAATATTAACAATTAGTATAAAATCTATTTTTTTATGCAAATTGCAACTATGAAAAGTAACGGAGCACTCAAACAAAAGAGTGACTCACAGGTGGATTTTAAAGAGTGTGATGTCATCGTAGGTTTTAATTACAGCCTTGACATAAACTGTTAAATATACTTTATTATGATAATTTACTATCTGCAATATATGATTTTGATTCTCAGGAACTGGATTACCAGTATAGCCCATCTCGCTGGTCCAAACAAGGAACTCCAGAACAAGTCATCAATCACCATGTTAAGTGGACAGCAGAAGGTATAGGATTTTTATCAAGATATGAAAAACTTTACTCTGTTTTACTGTAAATCTTTTCGACTAATGCATACTTGTATTCTTGTTGTGCTTTGTCTCAGAGAGTAAAAAAGTTCGTGATAACATTGAATGCGAGTTGAATATCTCGTATGGACTGACCAATGGGCAGAAGATGGACATATTTGGTGCCAATACATTACCTGGGGGTACGTATACATAAACGTCATAATTTATAAAGTGATATTTCTGTAGTCTTTTTGATTCTAATTTCATGTGATACTTATTAAGGCTCTGTGGCTTGTGATGATATTTCATAGCAATAATGGGGGATAAAATACTTTCTTTTTACGTTTTTTTTTTTTTTTTAATTTCTACTAAATACAATTACTTCTAAATAATTTGATTAATTTTTACAATTTTCATTAAGTATTCAAAGTTTTTATTAATGTGTATACAAGTTATAATTGTGTTGAATTTGTCAGATGCTTTTTTTTCACAATTTCAGAGGCCCCCATATTTGTATTCATTCATGGAGGATACTGGCAGGCTATGAGGTTAGCTTTTATTGTAGATATCATTAAAGTGAACTAAAAATATTTTTTATATATTGAAGAAATTCAAGGTTAAGCTCAGTGGTATTTTTGAGGACCGGTTTAAAATTTTCTCTGGTCAATTAGGCCATGAAATTCAATGTTCATAGTCAAGTTAATTAAGTTTTGTAGTTCAAAAGTGAAGTCATTAATTTTACTAAAAGAAAAATAATAATGGTACATCAGACCAGTTTGTATACCAAACACTGGTAAAGCTTCAAAATTTATTGGCCCAAAAGTAAGCCACCAATTCTTTTAAGCCTTGGGTATTTGATAATGATCCATATTCAAAAGCTGAAGGACTTAATTATCATAAAAAGATCAAAGAAGATCTGAGTTAAATTTGCAACTAAGATTACATATTAAGTTTGTAATTATGCTATGAATTCAGCTACACTCTCAAAGCTATGTAGTATCCTAAAAATTAACATCATTTATAAGCAGAACAGTATTAATTTTGTTTTTAAGAGTTTATAATGTACTGTCTATACACTGTAAATATCCACTTTAGGTAAGAAACTGTGTTGCAAGGTTCTTTAGATCATGAATTCCCTGGTATATATCCATAATCTGTTATAATCAATTTATATTAAGTTGTAAGAACTAGTGCCAAATCATGACTAGGTTTTAAGTCTGATTTTCACAATCATCATGCACATAACTGTTTATGCTTATTGTACATTGATTAAGAAGAATATTTTACCCACAGTAAAGATGACCATAGTTATGTGGCCCACCCCCTGACCAAAGCTGGAGCAGTGACAATCTTACTGGAATACACTTTGGCACCTAAAGGTACAGCAGAACTTAACTGTTTTACATCATAACTATTGAAGGTAAATTATCTCACCTGAGCCAGGTAAGCTTTCTTGATAAAGCTCCTCTATCATTTTTCCTCAGTTTATTAGTTAGCTAGCTAGGTCACATAAGTCTTGACTTAAATAATTCATCTCAAGACCTATATACTGGGCCTCTTTCAAAACAGTTTTGCACAAAATATCAAAGATTTAAAGAAAAGGGATGGGAGAGGATCGAGACTGAAATTTGTTTCTATGCAAGAAAACACAATAAGTAAAGTGTAGAATAGGAGTAAGAAATCGTTTTCATTTATCAGATAGATCAATTTAACTGAAGCAAGCATTGTGATTTACATATATTTTTATTGTCATTAATTTACAGTACCATTATGCATTAAATCTTTTTAAAATTTCATGCATTTTTAAGATTTTTCCATCCATCATTTTTTGATTTCTGTCATAAATTATGTCAATATAATTCTATATTTTTTTTAATCGATACAAAATTTGTTTTTTCTTTACTCAGCAAATATTGAAACAATTGTGGCCGAGGTGCAGCAGGGGATGAAGTTTATTCTAAACATGGCTAAGCGTCGACAGTCAAGGTATGTAGTACTCGTAACTTTCTAACCATATACATGAAGTGTCAAATAAAGATAAATGGGGTTTTTTTTACACATGAATCATATATACGATATTTACCATAATTTCATCATCAGGTCAAGCTTGAAATATTTCAGCAGTCAAAAATTAACATTGTAGTTATGTCTTTTTATATTTTAGACATCTTAACTACATCTTAACTAGTAAAACGTTATACAAGTATTATATTCATAGTTCCTATCCCTAGTGTAAATTAGACTATTACCAAAGAAGCAAAATTGTAAGTTATATGTTACTTTTTTTTTATTGATTGGCCATATTATGGTATAGACTTTCCTTGTGTACATCCATCTGTCTGTCTTCTATAAATGTGGAAATGTTTGGGGAGGGGGGGGGAGGGATTTTGCGAACTTTGTGATGAGTAAAGTTTTACAAAATTAATCACCACTCAAACAATTTCATATAAGTTACCATACCAAACAATAAACAAACACACTTTGTATTTTTTTTTATTTCCATAAAAATAACCCCCAAATGACACTTTGTTACATGGAAATTGCAAAATTTCACCTTGTAAAAATACTAACATTTACAGTATCTTTTCTTTATAACTATCAATCAAATACAGAAATGTAATTTAGAGGTCATTGTTGCAATTAAGCCACAAGGTTTTGTGTCCATTCTTTGTCCACAAAATAGAATGGAATGGTTTGTGACGATCATTGCATAGCAGTACATTTTTAAAAATTTTGTTTTAGAATATGTCATCTTAATATATAAATATGAAGATAATGCCATTTTCTTGTGAATTATATATGCTTTCTGCTTGGGATATGAAGTTCTTTAACACAGTAAATCCCGACTGTTTAAGGGGTGTTTATCTCTGTGGTCACTCAGCAGGAGGACAGCTGGCGGCCATGTTACTCTCAGTTGACTGGATGTCAGAATGTATGGTCTCTAATTCCGTCATCAAAGGTATGCTATGGATGCTTTTGATGTAGATACTTTTTAAAGGGAAGAATTATATAACAATTAAAATATCATTGTCTTTCTATTGATAACCTGTAGAATTTAGAAAATAGACATCTAGCAGAAATATTTCTGATAAATTAGCTGAGAAGTAAATTTCTCCCATTACCAATGATATATGTTTCACCACTCCTACACAGTGATTTTATTTTTTTTCTTTTGATTTGTTGCTGTGACATAATGGTTATATGACCCTTCTCAAACATGTTATGATGTCATAATGTGGGACAAAATATTGCATTTAAAGTGATCTGTACAGTTAGTAGTAGTGTACAAAAGTTTGAAGGAATTTCTGCAATGCAAATTGAAGAAAAGGTTTGATAATCTGTGCTCTTTAGTTACAGATTGTTCTCTTGTATTCCTTAATTTTTTAATTGTCAAAAGCCACTCAACAGCCTCATGTCTTTTTCCAGTTAAAAAAGATTAAAAGAAACTCTAGTTTAAAAAATGGTAACTAGTGCAAGTTATAGAACTTATATTTAAATACCTTCCATTCGATCAATTTTAATGTTACAGGTGCTATACTTATTAGTGGAGTATTTGACCTAAGACCTCTGGTACCCTCTCCAATTAATGATCCCCTGAAGATGACTGAGTATGTATACTTTCTTTTTACAAACAGCTGCTTAATTAATATCTGTTATGTCAATTTAAATATATCAATTATTAATGGCCTCCATAGGTATATGTTTGAATAGAGTTATTAATTCTTTAATATTAAGTAAATATTTAAATGTTGAATTCAGACAAGAGAGCTAGCTAGACTGTTTACGGTTATATCATTGTGTATTCCGAGTTGAGCACCTGGATACAGTACACCGAAAAAATAAGAACCCATTCTTACAATTATATATATATTTCTGTATATATTAATCCAGAAAAAGAAGCCAGGCATTACCTTATCTGTATACTTATTTTATCTATGGAATGTATACATCTCAGAATGCAAATGTGCAAATTCTTCATGCAGGAACAGATGGTCAAATGTAGTTTTAATAATTTAAAACAAATATAATATAATTTATTCAATATTTCCTTAAACTTTGTAATAACAGTTCAGATTGTTAATGTTAGCTTTAAAATCTTCACACAGAGAATCTGTGAGGTTCTTTATCTTGGTGTAAGAACATGTAGAGGACAGTTGTATCTGGACATGATTTTATGACTGAACAATAGATGAACATATTTGGCTCCTTAATTTCTTAATGTGATGGTTTTTCTACAGAGAAAAACTCCAATATTTGACAACCATGAGGTGGCCCACGAAGGGTCAAAATTTGCCCTGTAAAATGACCAAACTGAAACAGAAGTTTTGACCAAATATTTTCTGCTTAAATGTTAATACATGTAGTCTAGGTATTGTAATTTATTAAAGAAGAAAAAAATCTTGGAGTTTTGTACAGGTATACCTGAGATCAGCCCCAAATTACACAAGAAGCAAGAATTTGCTTAAATTTTTCACTTTCACTTTTTTGGATGAAATGTTCAACAGGCCTGTTGTAAACCCTCCACACATACACTTTTTCTGAGAATAGTCTTTGCTTTAGTTATGATATGTAAATTTTTATTTAGATGCCCCCTCCACTCCACCCCCACCCCACCCCCTCCACTCCAATCCCCCCCACCCCCATCCCCCACCCCCCCCCCCCCCCCCAAAAAAAAATGTTGCTGAAAAGGTCATACACTGGCAACTTCCTTCATTTGAAAAAAAAAAAACTAAATGGTTAGAGTTAGTGCCCCCCCCCCCATTCCCCAATGAAATAGGATTTTCGACCCTGTGCAGTTTACCTTTTTTTTTGTTATTCAAATTTTTTGTAGAGGTTCCCCTCCCCCTAATCAAAAATGTTGCTGGTGGCCTGGAATTTCTAGCATTGCTGAAAAACATATGACTGGCCATGTTAACTTGGTATTCTATTATTAAACTGATGTTGTCCTACCCGGTGGTTAGGGCTAAATTTTGAAACATAGTTAGAATTTTTACTTAAGAGTATTCAGTGTGCAATCAGTTATACTTGCATAAATATTAACTGCAATATGAGATCAACACCTATCTGCTTTTTATAACATTTTTGTAAACCTGTTTTGATGTTGATATGATAAATGTTTATTTTCTATTATCCAGTTTCAAGTTATTTATGTTTATAAAATCACATGTTAATTTTTATAGACCTATGACATGACGATACGTTAAGTTATACAAATTATGGTGTTCCCCTTGCAATTTTTTAGTAAAACAATGCCATACTGCAAAATCAAGTGCAATAGATATTGTTAAAAGAAAAACAGTTATATAAGCTTTACATATACACCTTCAGTCTGTAATCAAAATGTCATAAATTTTTTAGATGAGGCAGTTTTTGACCTTTCTTGGGCTTAGTTCTTTCTAAGAAAGGACTTGTAACATTGAATCAAATGTATTTGCTGTATATAGAATTATATAGAATTAACTGTGCTCAGAAGCCAACCAATTGCAAAAGATCTAATGCTTGTTGAAGGACCTCTTCCTGGGAGAACAGTCCTATGAAGGTGATGGGGGATATCATTAATCGTAGTAAAAACAGGAAAATAATCCTAGCAGTGGCAGAGGATGACCCAAAAGAATTCCACAGACAAACACACCAAGCATTCCAGGTATGGCATACCAATAACAAATACACTGGGCAGTCCAGGTATGGCATACCAATAACAGACAAACACACCAGGCAGTCTAAGTATGACATACCAATAACAGACAAAAACACCAGGCAGTCTAAGTATGACATACCAAAAACAGACAAAAACACCAGGCAGTCTAAGTATGACAAACACACAAAGCAGTCCAGGTATAGCATACCAATAACAGACAAACACACAAAGCAGTCCAGGTATAGCATACCAATAAAAGACAAACACACAGGCAGTTCAGGTATAGCATACCAATAACAGACAAACACACCAGACAGTCCAGGTATAGTATACAAATAACAGACAAACACACCAGACAGTCCAGGTATAGCATACCAATAACAGACAAACACAACAGGCAGTCCAGGTATAGTATACCAATAACAGACAAACACACCAGGCAGTCCAGGTATAGCATACCAATAACAGACAAACACACAGGCAGTTCAGGTATAGTATAACAATAACAGACAAACACACAAAGCAGTCCAGGTATAGCATACCAATAACAGACAAACACACCAGGCAGTCCAGGTATAGCATACCAATAACAGACAAACACACCAGACAGTCCAGGTATAGTATACCAATAACAGACAAACACACAGGCAGTTCAGGTATAGTATACCAATAACAGACAAACACACAAAGCAGTCCAGATATAGCATACCAATAACAGACAAACACACCAGACAGTCCAGGTATAGCATACCAATAACAGAAAAACACACAGGCAGTTCAGGTATAGTATACCAATAACAGACAAACACACAAAGCAGTCCAGGTATAGCATACCAATAACAGACAACACACCAGGCAGTCCAGGTATAGCATACCAATAACAGACAAACACACCAGGCATACCAATAACAGACAAACACACCAGGCAGTCCAGGTATAGCATACCAATAACAGACAAACACACCAGGCAGTCCAGGTATAGCATACCAATAACAGACAAACACACCAGACAGTCCAGGTATAGCATACCAATAACAGAAAAACACATGAGGCAGTCCAGGTATAGCATACCAATAACAGACAAACACACCAGACAGTCCAGGTATAGCATACCAATAACAGAAAAACACATGAGGCAGTCCAGGTATAGCATACCAATAACAGACAAACACACCAGACAGTCCAGGTATAGTATACCAATAACAGAAAAACACATGAGGCAGTCCAGGTATAGTATACCAATAACAGACAAACACACCAGGCAGTCCAGGTATAGCTTTCTACAACACAACTCAGCATATTTGTTTTGATATTAGCTAAGACCAAAATAAAAAATACCTTTGTTTTCCCTAATGCGACCGACCCACTTAAATCGTGCCGACTGAAAAGTTTTTTTTAATAAGATTATTCAAATATTTTTTTTTCTAAAATAAAATTTCATCAAAGTCCGTTTTTTTTTTATCAGAACGGCGGCCTTTGTTTTACTCTCATGTGGCGCTCACAACATGTGGCCACAGAGGGTTAGTTTGTGTTATAAAACAACGGTGATGTATCAATCTTAATATATATTTTAACTTATTAGAATCTTACACTCTTGAAACATTTCCTGAATTATAAATACCATGACTAAGAGTGTTAAGATGGTATTTACAAATTTGTCTTCTAAAATTAACCTACATAGTAAGCATTGCAGAGCCTGCCTCATGCGCAGATGAGGGGCCCACCTTGTGTATGCATATCGACAAATTTCACTGCATTTCATTCGTTTCGATCTAATAAACACTTCGTATATGATTCTATTTTTACTATATAGGACAATAGAATTTGTTAATATGTCTTTGTATAATTATCATCGTGATAAATATAATTCAGATGTCATTTCTTCCTTCTTTTTATTTATGGGGTTAACTTCGTGACTATAACATTAGATATATGAAACTTTAATCATTTTAGATATGGTTTGGTTGAATTAAATATTGTTTATACAGATACACTCAAATAGTGTTGAAATCTTTTAAATTGGCTTATGGTACGACTTCATGAGATGTCCAGTGTATTTTTCTCTAGTTAGGCCCTTGAAAATAGGTTGATTCTTTGCTCTAAAATACCTTTTCAAATTGTTGGATCGACAACATTTGAACACCTGCCTTCATGGAGGGCTCCTAATTTAGACTCTTTCTCGGCACTTATGGCCAATGATCATATAGCATCAGTAAGGGATCTTTTTCGTGCCAACTTCTAAATGTATACTGTGACACTGCATGGACCTACATTTTTTTATAGTCTCATTCGACTGACCAGTCTCCACGGCCCACGTCTAGACCTGTGACTTACAATAAGCTCCTGAATTACGTCAAGACTCCAAACAAAACACTAAAATTACTGCGCCACGCGAGGCCCTTAACATTTTGTCTGTGTAAGCACTCGAAGGTGATGGTAGGTTTGAAAAAAATATACTCGGATGACCGATGGTTGAGTATTTGCAAATCTTGTCTTTTGTAAAATTTCAATTTCAATTAATTTACGCTGGCCTGAGATATTTTACAAGTTCAAATGAATAATATTTGTGAAATAATTTACCATACATGTTGCTTTTAAATTTTATTTGTATGATATTTTGTTCAAAAATCGGTTTCTTTTGTTTTTTCTTATTTATAAAGATATTATTCAATTTTTCAGAATGTATTTTCAAAACTGCTATCAGAAAAAAAAAATAATTTACCTACCTACCTACCCAACTTAAAATTTTAGGGTCGGGTTAGGGGAAACAAAGATATTTTTAATGATGGCCTAAATATATGCCAAATATCTCATTGATGTCTCGATCAAGTCACAAAAAGGTTATGCCCAAAAATGATGCTAAATGTCAGGAATCGCAACATCTTTTTTGTGACATTTTGAAAATTAATATTTTCGGTAGATGTGTAGAATAAATATTAATGGTTTATGTTAGAAATAAAGACTCTCCTGATAATATCCAAAGTATTGAGCTTTAAATGTGGACTGTAGTAACTTTTGTTTGACCAAGTTGTGGTCATGGCTGATGTGGAAAAAAATGTTATACCATGTCAGGAGTGCAACAGAAAAAATGTAGTGTTGCCAAAAACATGATTTTAAAAATCTGTATGTCAAGTAAGTCAAAAAAAGAATTTTCAAAGTGTAAAACAATAACATATATCATTCAAAGTTAAAAATATTATATGAATCACAAGCAGCATTAATGAGAGTCAAGTATCTGCATATGTATACCCAATTATGTGAGGAGTGCATCATTTGATGTTTTGCTCATGAACATGGAAAAATTTTTATCAATGTATAAACCTTTGATTTTTATTTTGGAAAATAAAGTTACAAAGAACATACCAAAAAAATCTATCAATTACAGGATCTGCCTGTGTTTCAGATCCTTATTTCTATGCTCAGGAGTGCAACACATTTTTTTTAAAGATCCAAGTTCAATAATGAAATGTCTTTTCTTCATACTCAAAAGTATTCTTTGATCTATAAGCATCTATTTCAATAATTTAGTACTAAATTCAAATGGCAGTTTTATGATTGAAATCTGTCTCTTTTTCAATTTTATCTATCCAGATGTGTTTTTATCTTTTCTTTTAATTTTTTATGAAATTAAAACACACACACTGCAAAATTGTTATAAAATTCAAGTAATTCCACCATAACTTCACTGAAACAACAGAACATATTCTGATGTAATTTATGCTTCATAATTCTACTCTTAAAAGTCTCAAATACTCTTGGTCAGGTGTGCAACAAAATTGTTAGAATTATTTTTGAGGAAATATGAATAAATATAAAGAAAAAATTGATGAGTAGAATGTTTGGTGTCTTCCCACTTAGCCAACATTTTGAAAAAATACAGGTAAAACAAAGGTAAATGTGGGAATTAAACCTAATGTTTCTGGTTGACCTCAATTACTTACAGTATTTGTCCCTTTAAGGCAAATATACTATAAAATATACTTTTATTTTCTCAGTATATTATTAGCTAGTTTTGTGATTTTAATAGGGAATACTTCAAGATGTAAATCCAAGTTTGAATAATTCTGTATGTTTTAACCACGAAGTACTGAATTATAAATATTTCACAATTTCATTACAACTTGATGTTGCCAACACTCTATAAATTTTTGTGTTTTATGGTTTTAATTTTAAATTTTCAGGAGTGCAACAAAATTGTTTAATAATCATCAATGAACTTCATCTATCTTTATTAAAAAATGACTTGCAAAAATGTTTGAAACGATTTGTAGTTGAAATCATTATGTCTATCATTTTTCGAACAATTTAAAGTCAATTCACAGAAAAGTTTTTAATCACTAAACAATATTTTTTAATATATTTAAGCATTGAATCATTATTTTTTGAAAGATATAGTCTCATAACTGCAATGGTGTGTGCAAACAAATTGAGTAACGTGCGTTAGCATGTTATGAAAATTTGTTTGCACACACCATTACAGTTATGAGACTATATTTTTCAAAAAATAATGATTCAATGCTTATATTCACATTTTTAACTCCTTGCCTTGACTGTAAATGTGATTTATAATTGAAAATCCCTGTATTATCCTTCGGGTAAGTTACAATTAATGGAAGAGCTTCTTTGCAATATGAGCGTGGATTTTGATTTTTGATTATGACGTTGCACTTCAACATTTGTGACGTCAAAATAAAATGCATACTTTAACCTTTTGAACCCCTGTACATGTTATGTTTTGAATGCTGTAGCTTTCCCCATACTTAATAAGCAAAATACATGTGGAATGTATATATATATATATATATATATATATATATATATATATATATATATATATATATGTATGTATGTATGTATTAGGGATGGTTATCACCAAAAATTCGTGTCACGATAATATATCACGATTTTTTCCCCAAAATTTCACAATAATATCATGGTATTTTTACAAGCAATTTTTACAATGATTTTAAATGAATTTTCATAATTTTTCAGAAATATATGCTGGAAAAACAATATATCTTCACTTTTTCAATTTTTTTATTTACATAATATCAAGCAATTTTGGATGCTAGGATGCCATTCTTTTACCGTTTTCAATTTTTTTACACTTCCTGTAATTGTAATTTGAAAGATTGAACAAATAAATGAATAATTTATGGAATTTATTACGTAAATACCAGTATTTTACTCTCCGCATCACGAAACATATCATGCAATTAAAAATCTCGATATACTGGTATAACGATAAAACCACACATCCCTAATATATATATATACTTTTTGATATATTTTATATATATACTTTTTGATATATTTCAACCGCATAAGTTCCTTTTTTAATGCAAAGGAACTCAACATTGAACAATGTGTCGTATATATATATATCATATAATAAGTTGTTCGATGTTGAGTTGCTATGAATTCAAATAAACATGACTGATGAAGGCCGGTAACATGGTCGAAATATTGCAAAAAATGAAAGTTTTTTATTATTTATATAATTATATAGATTTATAATGCAGTATTTTGACTTTCAACTAGTACATGTATTTTAACTTTGACCTTTACTTTTAAAATGGTAAATTATTTACTGGAGCATGCTTTTCTTTAATGTCTACCTAATTCTGTCTAATGTATTTTTTCCCCTTAATATGTAGTAAAATTAATTTAGAATTGATCACATTACTATCATAAGGCCATATGATATTACTTGTATATAAATGACTGGTTATTTTCAAATAAAATTTTGCATTTATAGTTACTCTATTAGTCAGTATTTGTTGTTGTTTTTTTTAAATATATAGATGAACCAATGAATTACTTGTTTGTGTACAGGTCCTGATGGCCACTGATATCACCACAGACTGTGTGATAAGTCCAGGAGTTGATCATTTTGGAATTGTGGAGAAATTACTGTATGAAGACTTCCACCTGACGCAGGTGATGTAAAACCTATGAATCAATTTAAGATGCTCACAGACCAATATCTTAGACTTGATTGCTTAACATTGTACCATTAAAGTAAACCCCACTTTATATTACTCTGAAGATCAAAGAAGTCTGTAAAATAATTAAACTAGATATATAACAGTATTACCTTGAGGCTGGGTAAATGTTATTAAGATGTACAAGATTTCTCTAGTAATTAAATATTTATATATACAATATTACCTTAAAACAGGATCATTTTATTAAGAAGCATGTGACTCCTGTGCACAACAGCTATTCCTCAGTGTGTCAAGGTTTTCATACAATATCATTTACATAAAAAACTTGGAAAACTGTTGTAGCCACTTGAATAAGTGACTATTAAAACATCCCCAGTTTGATCCTATAAAGAACCACCCATCAAAACCCACCCTTCCTCCTAATGGATCCCCAATTTAATTGTTCATTCACCCACCCTTCATTATAATGGACATTGGTGTTTCTATTTTGAATCTGTAAAAATCCAACTTCCTTTGATATGGTTCTCCCAGACTGATCTGAGAAACGCCCATTCTTCCTAATTGTATAGGATATGTTTTTCCCAGTTTGAGCCTATAAACATGTGCCTTTCCTTTTCGGTATTTCTGGTGTGACCACATCTTTCCTTTTTATTTTTAATTTAAAGAAAATATAAATAAAAAAATTGCAGTATTTTGCAAAAATTAGATAATTTTTAATTTAGCTTTAAGAAACAGACCTTTAGACACATCATACACACAAAAGGCATATACACAGTAAAACATACTTACCGCAAACATGGTACTCTTATAATGAATTAACGCTTACAGCGAAGTGATTTTCATTCCCCATAGCTTCGAAACATATTGTGAACTTAACAGTTATAAAGAATTATGTTTATAATGAAGCAAAATCATCAGTCCCAGTTGCTTCATTATAAGGGTGTTTTACTGTATACTATTAAATTTTAATTGGACAGTTAGGTTATTGACATGGCCATAAGAGCGAAGGGGCACAATATTTAGTATACATGTACTATAGAAAACATAACTACTTAATACTTGTTTTCCTTCAATAATAACACATTATTGTTGAACTTTTTTGTTTTTTGCTTATCAAGGAATTTTTGCTTGGTTGTGCCCCCCCCCCCCCCCCCAACTAAAATTACTTCCTATGGGCCTGACTGACACTAATATCTAATGGTTAATAATTTTCCTTAATTATTTATAGATGGCAGTTGAGATGATGAATCTGAATATTGCAGAAATTGACAAACAAATGCAGAAAACAGCTGTTTAGAAGGTTTGAAGATGTGTTTGTAAGCTAACACTATGGACTAATCCTGTAAATTTATTTTGCTACAATATAAATATACAAATATGCATTGTATTTATTTCCTATTCAAAAATGCATTGAGAAGCAATATTGCTGGCACTGAGAGCAGAATTAGTCACATTTCTAACAAGTCCCTGATGGAGACTGTTGTCTAGTTGTCAAGTTCTAGATCTTATTGATAGAAAGGTGTCCATCATTGATCAGTCATTGCAAAAGGTGAAGATATGAACAGTGATCAATCTCATAGATCCAGTATTGAATATGAATCTTGAAGAGAGCAAAAACACAGACCTTTCTGTCTGTAAACAATTTTTCAAAACGCTACTACTCCTGCAGCTTGGTAGACTAATTTCAGAAAACTTGGTACTGTAGATCACTAAATTTTTGTGACACCTTATTTTCGTGAGATAATGATTGACTCTTTATTGGCGAGACATAATTTTTACAAATTGTTGTTATTCTTCTATATATTCTTAAGGAATACTATTATATGTGAGAATGAAATTCTCACTGTCTCGCATAATTACGCGAAAATAAAGTTCACGTGAATAAAAAGTTATTTACAGTACACATGCAGACTAAACCAGTATTATCTACTGTGTATTGGTTTTTGATTTTGATGATAGATATCTATGATTAGATATTTTTGTAAAATTCAACTTTTCTCCTTCTACATTGTATGTTTGATATAAACTACACACTACACCTAGGTATACAAATTGATATGTCAGGGTTTTTTTTTTTTAATTTATATCATCATTGTTTCCATGGTTACTAAAAATAGAATTTGGAATTCTTTCATGTTATTCCTTATACAGATTTGGTTTAATTCTGATAACTGTTGGAACACAAATATACTACACCAATGCTCAAAATTCTATATATTTGTTTATGATTTTATGAATCTATTTTAATTTATGATGTCAAGCTACCTAAAAATAGAATAATTTGTGAAAATCTTTTGAAATGCTTCTCCTCCTACAGTTTTGTTTGATTCCAATAAAACATGGTATAAGTTTTAAGGATACATAATTAAATGAATGTAAAACTTAAAAAAAAAAAGAAGTTTCTCAGTCCATGTGCAACTTTCTCTTCCCATTAGAGCAAACCAGTTGAAATGCAGCCATCAGGGACTTCTGGTTCATTTATAAATACATGTAGCCTGACAGTATTGGTGATAGTTGTTTAAGTGGCTGTCTAGAGTTCTAGGTTTGAATGCTTGGCTTGTCTATAAATAACCTGACAGTCCTGGTGAAGGTTGGTTAAGTGGCTATCTAGAGTTCTAGGTTTGAATGCTAGGCTTGTCTATAAGTAGCCTGATAGTATTGTTGACACAGTTGGTTAATTGGCTATCTAGAGTTCCAAGATTGTATGCTGCCCTTGTCTACAAATAGCCTGACAGTATTGGTAAGGGTTGGTTAAGTGGCTGTCTAGAGTTCTGGGTTTGAATGCTGGCCTTGTCTATAAATAGCCTGACAGTATTGTTCATGGTTGTTTGTTTAAGTGGCTATCTAGAGTTCTAAATTTGAATGCTGGGCTTCTCCATAAATAGCCTGATAGTATTGGTGATGGTTGGTTAAGTGGATATCTAGAGTTCTAAGTTTGAATGCTGGGCTTGTCCATAAATAGATTGACAGTATTGGTAATGGTTGGTTAAGTGGCTATCTAGAGTTCTAAGTTTGAATGCTAGGCTTGTCCATAAATAGATTGACAGTATTGGTAATGGTTGGTTAAGTGGCTATCTAGAGTTCTAGGTTTGAATCCCGAACTTGCCAGTTCCATTTTCTCCTTTCTTTGTTCCAGATTATTTTTGTAGAACATAATGTTGAAAGAAATAAAACAAATACACTGTATATGCTAGCACAACATATAAAGGTTTTATCAATAACATGGTTATATGATTTATTTAAAAGATTTTTGACAAGTTCAGTAGTTGTACTTTCTGGAGAGTACAGATTAAAACTGAACACGAGATTTCTATTTTTAATGTTTGTTATAAGAATATGCTCTAAATCTTTATACAGGGTGATTATAAAAGAAAATTCTGTTGCTGGCACTTTTACCTGAAATATTCTTACAAGTCTTCTCTATATTAAGGCAATGTGTCTGTTAAAACTTGTGAGAAGAGGATGCAATGCTTTCTTTACTTTACTCTTAGAAGAGCAGACATTAGTAACTAAAGTTGTCAGGTGATGTACTCACCTATACAATGTTAGAACAAAAGAAGGTGTCAAAAGTCCCTTCAATGGTCTATTTTGGGAAATAGTAGATTCTTTTATATAACCATAAATAAGACACCATGAACAGAGAGAGATACATGAGATTAGAGGACAAATTTTGCATAAGCACAGAAAAATTATCTGTAACCTTTTTTTCAAGTTATTCATCAACTTTAACATAATGAGTCATGTTATTTGAAATCATTTAATTGACAATTGATCAAAGTCTTTTGAGAATATGATCACTGATCAAATGAATTACTTATATTATGAAAATTGTATGCTTATGGGACTACCTTGATGTATAGCATGCATCAGTGATATTCTCCGAATCTAGAATGAGATTTTTAATATGAAGTTAAAGGTTGTGATATTCATCAGAGCTTGCTTCTAATTCGTACATAAATGTGAACATATTCAAGGTTTCCATTAGCTTTAATGGTAATGAAAATAATAAATAGTGAACAACACAAGGCCAGGGTTTACAAGGTACCCGTAGAGTGCAAAAGGAAAAAAACTAAAACGAAGTCAAACCAAGCAAATAAAAAACGAAAGAAATATTAAGTATGTATTGTATAAATCCCAACAGTAACTTGTTCACGTGAAAGAATGCAGCTATCAAATAAACTATCTAAAATCAGTCAACACGTAGTTCTGTTTATTCTAATTTTTTTCTTAGATAATACAATTATACTAGTATTAGTATCATAAACGAAAATTGTATGTTAATTCAAATTTATTACCAGCTTCATAGTTTTTACAATTCATTTGAGATTTGTTTTCATTTCGTTACGTTTATTTCGTTCTGCACTTTACAAGTACCTTAATTTTCACTGACTCGGTTTTGAATCGTAAGCACTTTGGTTTACAAATAGATAATTCAACAAATGTACTTTAACATATAACAATACTGACAACATTATTCGTGTACTTAACTATACATTTTGTAAAACTCTTTGATCAGTCATTGTGTAAAAATGTAATCAAGAAAAGTGTAGTGATGTTTACAGCTGTTTATTCTTTCTTGACCATGTCTCTGTGGGTATACCCGGAAGGTCAAGATTATCATTACTGTACCACATAAATAATTAAACGAGAAAACCAGTGATTGTGACCGTGTCGTATTACATCACTTTTTACAGGGACTCAACATTAAACAGCTTGTTTCAACGGCTGTGAATCTTGTCAATTTACAGATATGATAACTGAATGGTTTCATAAAATCACAAACTTGACTAGCGAGAGACACAGGATGAAGACATTGAAAAGTAACTTGATAAAAAAAAAAAAGGACTCCAATTGGTCGTTTAGTGTCGTTTGGCGTTGTCAATTACTTGTAATGGCGAAATGAAATGCATCGTTTTGCTGGACATTGTAAACTTCTTGAACTCTTCTTCTGTGTCGAGTCTCTCTAGATTTTCTCTTGAACCTTCATTACTGGCTTTCAGTATAATCTCAGTATCACTATTATCGGAAGTGACGTTGATTTCTGGTGTGATAACATTTGTATTTGGAATATGGTTTTGGTCATTATACAACTGAATATTTTTCACAGCCAGTTTAGGATTGTCATATTCAGAGCGCGCGCTATACCACGTGGCTTGAGAGTCGTCATGGCTTCGATCGACTTCCGCTCGAACCGCGTGAGGCGGTCTTCGCTCCTTGTCGGGGTTGACGGAAGGGATTGTTAAAAACAAGCCATCCTCGATGACAGAATTTCTCCCACTTTTCTCTCCTTCGATCTCTAAGTTAACGATTTTAGGCTCTGGTTTTACTCTGCTTCTTCGACCATCTTTTTTTCTCCTGACGATACTGTTACTGGTTGCTATTGAATTTATTTCATTCATTTCTCTGTTATGTGCCTCTACGTTATCAAGAGTTAGGTTTGAACGTTCCTCCTGAATCTGCAGCATAGCCCTAGGATTGTCAAACTGTCTGTAGTAATCGTCGTCATTACTAGAGACATAGGACGGCGGTGGATTGACCATATGGGTCTGTGTAGTCATCGTTGATTCACTTCCGGTTGGACTTGTCATATTCTTACGGTAAAGTAGTTCCCTTTGATATGACATTGTCTCTGAATTGTCAATGAATTCATGTTCTTCGTTAGCAACTCGTAGAAGTTCACCATTTTCGTTCTGAAATTCGGTTGGAATGATTACGTCATTATGCCAGGGACCGATATCACTATAAGCGTCTTTCCTTTTGCCCTTCTGGGACTTCTTTTTTGGACCTTTGAGAGATTTGTTGGACTTCTGTGGCCCTGGTAGCACTGGATCGAGCGTTCCAACTCTTTGAAATGGTCCACCAACTTGGATTGGAGCTAAAGAACACACACCAAAAACTGATGGGTCACGAGGCTGATATTTCATTCTTTGAGATTCGTGTAGCAGGCGAGGATCATAATGCGGAAACTCATTTTTCAGGTTTCTTCGATTTGTAAGAAAGTAAGACGGTCCCAGTGAATTTCCCAAGGACACAACACTTAATTTGCTCTCTGATCGAGGAGTTGCTTGGGGATAACTTTTCTTTGACAATATTCGAGTTCTTTCTATCCCTTTTTGAGCATTGGTTTGATTTGGTGCCTCGATTCGGTCTTCGCTTTTTCTCGGAGATTTGAAGTATCCACCTTTTACACCACTTCGTAAGTTTACACTTTCTTGCACCATTTGAGATTTGTTAAGATACCTTCCCATGTCTACTGAAGGCATGTTATCTAATCCGAGTTTCCTCATCTGTTTGAATTGCACGTGCTCACCTTTGTCATCTTTCCTGTGTTTCTTGTTATTTTTTATCCCAAATGTAAACTGATTTTTCTTCTGTGCCACGATAACATTTCTAGGAAGATTTGCTCTGATAACACTTTCTTTAGGCACTGTGAACGAGGGTTCCTGCTTTTTACTGATAGAACTTATGCCCTCTGTGAAAACAGGGAGCTTTTTGGACATTTTATCTTTTTTGAAACCTAAATCAGCTCCGCTAGGGCGGATGGAGACTTTGATTGGGGGTAAATTTTTCACTGCCAGGTTGTCGTCGCCTCTGACGATTTCGTTATACTGTTGTAGAAGCTGGATAGCCTTGTCACGAGCAATGATGTTTACTTTCAGGTCCGAGTCGGGGTTCCGCTCTCCTTTGAGACTGTTAGGACGACTTCCGATAAAGTCTGCTAAATGAATTTTTAGGTTAGGTGACTTTGAGACAGGTACAGAGGGTATGTAAATGGATGGTAATTTGGTCAGTCGTTGGTTCTCTTCCACTTTCTCTTTCTGAGGTCTCTCCTGTATTGGAGCTGATATAAGCGGAAGTGATCCGTGATTACGGTGTCCTGGATCGGCCATCTTTTCTCGCGGAAGGTGTTGAAATGTCGCCATGCTTCTGCAAAATATCAAAAGTTTGATAGCGTCTTATTCATCTAATTTATTGCAAAAAATATTATTTATTTTACATAACATTTAGGTTAACTATGGCCCATTCATATTATTGTATTTACTGACTTCCGATGGATAGGAAAAATAAGGTAATGCTTAAATTCTTTTCTGAGTATAAATTCTCTTTCAATAACATTGAATTTATTAACGATGATTTATATGCTTAAGGAACCTCAACAGATTTCCGGAGTAATGTTACTATTTCGGGGTCACTACGTTTTGTTTCTCGGCCCAGAAATCACAAATTTAGTTCCTGTGGCTAATCGTCTCCAGCAATCTTTAATTACAGACCTTATTCTATGTTGTTAAACCACTGGAATTATTTATTAAGCTGGTTAATATCGGATTAAGACTGGCTTAAATTTGGTCGGGATTTAAAAATTACATGCACAAGTTTAGGTTCTCTAATGACTCATAATAAATAAGGAAGAATTTAAAATTTTTATTAAATTCTGCCAAAAAATTAATTTGAGAGGATAACATACATATATTTATACCAACAAGATCCCAAATTTATTTCTCTATATTTTGTACTTCCTTAACTGGGTACAAACGAAACATTAAATCAGATGCGAAGAACACTTTCATTAGTAAAAAATATAATTGGGATAAGGAAAGGCAGGTCATTGTATCTTCACATACGTCAACATATTTCTTGTACCGAATTCTGGATGATTGATATTTTATGTATTAATGGTAGAATTAAGTTATCAGATGAATGCCTTTCCTGTAGAATTGAAAGTTACTCCAGCAATAGTGAATGGAAATAAGTTAAAGCTTTTCTGTAACCTGTCCTGTTTTCTGCGAAGTTTTTATCCAATACGTACATTTATCTGATGACCAGCAACTAAAGGCCGGTTCACACCAGAGAGCACATTATTGTCTGATTCCGAACACGTATAAAGTTCATGCATTGTAAATACATTGATCGAAATCGATACATATGTAACACTTATTTTTTATATCAGAGATGATGACAAAATAAAAATAACAGAATATTTATAAGAAAGTAATTTAGAACAGGAATTTGCTTCTACAATTGATTTTTTTCTAATCCAGATTTGCACATAGAATAGCACTGTATTATTATATTCTGAGGTGAAATATTCCGTTTTAAGACGTAAAATCGCATCATTTAAAGAGGTCTTCCATGTTCTAAACATGTCAAAGAACATAAGTAATAAAACACGATTTGGGAAAAATTGTATAAATTATGTAACACGGGTCTTGCACATCGGAGAAAAAGTAATTTTGAAACGTATTTAACCATATTGCAAGAAATCTTACAGTTATGCATATCGGTCAAATGCATTTTATGGAGAAAAATCTGTAAACACCATCATATCTATGACATTAAGTCATATCTATGGCATAAAGTACAAATATTATTATATAACGTTCATGATTATAATAATTATTCTTTTACATCCATGTAACACATATAATATTTCAACAGTTAATTTAAAAAAAGATTTTTTTTTTCATCTCATGGCCAAAATTTTGTTTCACACTCTTAGAAATGCACGAATCATTTTGGAGGTAAATATGTAAAACATCTGTGTGAAGGTAATGTAAATATTATACGCTGAGGTATCAAATGCACTTACCGACAGCTATCCAGGCTCTGGTCGCCTGGCCATTAGGAGGGTATCAATTTATATTTACCTCCAGTTATATACAGCTTATGCAAAACCTACTTAACTTAGTACGATTATAGGTGTATTGTGCAGCACCTACGGTTCCTTTGTTGGCGAGGGACTTGTTTTAAAGGCTGTTGCCAACAATGGAACATCTCGCGTTATCACAAGTATGGAATCTCTCCACGTGTTTTGGAGAATTGTTTAAAGGGCTCTGACGTCATTTGACACCTTCGTTTTGATCAGTTTACACCTAAGAAAAATCTTTGTCTGGTAAGTAAAGTATACATAACCTTGTATTTAAATCAATTGGCGGACGCATGCACATTTCGGGGATGCCAGACCATGTGTAGACGGAAAGCAATAGGAGTCTGGGAATCACTCTTGTATTGATGCTATTTTTGTTATCAGATTTCCAAATAAAGAATATTCATCAAAAAAGACTATTCCTAACATCTGCAAAAATAACATGAAATTAGCTGTGGAAATAGAACAAAAATATACAAAAATAGAAACAATGAAAATAAACCGAAAATAATGGAAAACAAAAGTAAAACAAAGAATGTTTTCAAACCTTTCACATTTAAAACAAAAAAACAAAACAAAGAAACCAAACAAACATAATGTTAACTTTTTTTGTTTAACGTCCCTCTTGAGAATTTTTCACTCCTTTGGAGACGCCACCACTTGCAGGCGGAGGGCTGCAAAGGGGGAGTTTCGATAAGGCTGTTTTTCGACCCCTCAAGAAATATAATGAAATTGTGATATGTTGTAGATAAAAGTGTTATCTTCCTAAAAATATGAAAAAAATTTATACCGCACATTTTCTGGTCACGTGATAATTAAAAATTTAAGTATACCCTCTTCCCTAGATTTTTGGAGGCGTCATATTTAGAGGGGGTAATGGAGTTTATTCAACGTCAAAATCATAAGTGAAATATTACAAATGTGAATAAAGGCATCAAATAACCAATTTCAATATTTTTCTTTACAGAAAATTAATGATATTTATTTTATTTGAATGCGTTTTAAGGTGCAAGATTTTTCTGGTGTTTTAAGTGTAACTCTTCTTTCGAAGAGGATGAATGTAACATATAAAACGTATATGAATAATAAAGACAGGAATTTTCAAAAAATGAATTAATCGACAGTTTATACTTAGACTTAATAATCAATATATAACATTTTCCCGTACGTAGAAAAGCAAATGTAAAGATATATAGACAAGAGATAGATAAACGTAAACTGTCATTGACAGGTTTTCGACACTGTTTGCAACACATTTTTATCAACTAAAGTTATTGTGCTAATAATAGTATTAATAAAATGTACCGTAATATCATTAAATTGAATTTTAAAAAAATCTTGAAATTAACAGATTTCGGAATTCGGTACGATTAAAAAATGCAGCTATTTATATTTTTAAAGTATATTTAAAAGAATCATACTGCAATGTACATTGTATTTAATAATACCAAGCGTATTACTACCAGTCAAAATATTTTATCAAGATAGTAATTATTAGTCCCATACCGATGAAGCCGGAGGGGTCTATAGGTTTCCTCATCGTCTGTCCCTTGTCCGTCCGTCCCTCTGTCTATCTGTCAGTCTGTTTCACTTAGCTTTTCGCACTTTTCTCTTAACGCTTGCAGATATTGAGCTGGCTTTGGTATTTATATTGTATCCTGATGAGAAACAGAGTTTGAAATTCAAGTTTGAATTTCGTTAAATTCTGCTTCAATGATTTTTGACGGAACATTACAAATTTAAAAGAAGGGGGGTTCGGTGTTTTTCGTTTTGTTTTGTTTTTTCTAAATAATAAAAATCGCATATATTCAGCTAATTTTTGTTTTGGTATATGAGTTATAGATCAAGTTGGCATTTTCTTCCGCTTCAATGATTTTTCAAATAGGGCATTTTCAATTTTTAATGGAAACCAGGTTATACTTGGTGTGCCGATAGTGGACTATTATTGCTAATGCAGTGCTTACAGAATGCGTGAATAAATAGCCAAATGATAAAAAAAAACTAAAATACATTGAGTGCATGTCTTCTATTCATTCTTAAACTTAAAAGTATTTACGCACATAAAGAGGTGCATTATGTTTTCAGCAAAAATGAGACAATTCAGGCAAGCGAGGACCTACATGTAATTCCTCGCGCTTCCCAACTTCCTTTTGATGCTTATGTTGTTTCACCAACTTTTAGTCACTATTTGATTTGCTAGACCATAGCCGCAATTTAAAATACATTTGTAAATACCAAATGTATGAGTTAAATCATATCCTGCAGAAACGTACAAATCAACATCCAGTCTTAAAAGTAATCTACGTTCCATACATGTAGACCACACGGAAATATATGTGAAACTTCTCTAACAGATTTAAGCGATGAGAGTTTCTATTCAAAGGAATGGCTATAACCATATCCTTGATAAAGAACGTTAATGAATGGACTAATCCTCAAACTTCTCTTTAGTTCAGTCAGTCATTCGGGAAAATGTAAGATTCGGCATCTGTTACAGTTCTGGTAATGTGTAACCCTAAATGCATCATCGGTGCATATTTCTTCAAGATAGGGATTATAATTACATGAAAATAAGACATGCTCCAAAATATATACCCTGAGCATTCATCAAGAAAATGTAAGTCAGATCTAGCATCTGAAGCAAGTCTGACAGTGTGCATCCAAAGATGCATCATGAAGCACGTCTTCTCAACAAGTGCTTATAGCTGCACTGCTCCATAAACATTAACCTGCATGCTTTAAAAACATTAACCTGGACATTCTTTAACTGAAAATGCAGCATCTGAAACACGACAGATGACAAGAAAACACACTAGATCAGGCGACTCTGATGATATGAAAAAATTGATAAAAAACTTTTAATAACCTGGAACGCCTATAACGATGGTATTACAAAAGCTCCCCAACTTGGTGTAGGTGAGCTAAATATGTGACGTTAACGTTATACGCGGGCGACGAAATAAGTATGGAAATAACTATAGGATACGATTATGTTTTCTAATGTTAATATTTTCGAGAGTTCTCTTTGGTTTAGAAAAAATATGCTACTTTTGGCTTTGTATTTTAACACGGCGTAAGATCAAGTAACCAGGAGCTTCTAATTTTAGATATGCAAATTTTAGACAATTTTCAATTTTTGGATATGAAGTGCGCACGCGACACTCATCATATTTTAAGATATAAGTGTGCAGAGTATATCTAATTACTGAACAAAACTAGGTGAGTGTCCCTCATGCACTTCATATTCTAACCATCGAATAATATATGCCACCCCCTTATATTTTCCCATTAGCCTAATGTTAAAGCATTTGAGGGTACATCTAAGAATGTGCCAACTACGGCGTGAATTCATCTCATATAAACTCTTGAAATATAAATAACAAAAATTAACATATATATCTTGAATTCTAAACCAATTTTCAAAAAATAAAACGAAATTTATTTTTATGAAAATAAGTGGGCCGATAAGCGGCCTTATCGAAACTCCCCCTTTTGACCTTAACTCGGCACTTAGGGTCATTGAGCAGTGAGGGATCTTTTACTGCGGCACGGGACTCATATGCATCCGGAGGACCGATCTCCACGTCCCGCAGTTGATTCGAACCCGCGATGTAAGGATCAACTCCTTACACCGGGACTCCAGAGCAAACGCTCCAACCACTGCGCCACGTGGGCGACATGTAAACTTGTAATATAACAGTGTTTATAAAACGTAATGTGTAATTAAGTAGTTAAACTTTAATCGGTTTGCATTTTACAACTATTATTTAATAATATTACTGATTTGCTGAAATAAGTATGCCACTTGGCATTTTGTCTAGCGGTCTTCTGTAGCAATTAAGGGTTCCCCTTGCAGGAATTCCCCCAAATCATTTGTAATGTAGTAATCCCCCCCCCCCCTACGTGGAAGAAATGCTTTAAAGAAAATGCCCCTCTCCCAAGGAATAATTGCTTTAAATCAAATTTTCCCGTTTTATTGCATTTGCTTGCAGTACAACAGATTTTCTCCCAGTTAAAATTGTAGCCAGATTTGTTTTGGTTGCATTAGTTATACAACAAAAATCTTAGGTAAGAAATCAATCTGTCATATTTATGTATATTATTTCCACTATTAAACAATTGTTTATGTTTCTTATCAGTCACTTTGTTGAAAATATTATATTAAGCCATTCCTCGCGATAAAATAAAAAGTAGGATTTTTGATATCATAGACAACTGTTTCTTCAATACCTAAGTACTGATACAGTACTGAAAGACAGGTTTTGATACCAACTTAATTTTTTTTTTTTAATATAAATTTGATATTTACCTAAATTAAAAAAAAAAACACTGTGAATAATATCTTCACGTTTTTCATTTACTCTGTAATAAATTAATCAGTAATCACAAGTCTAGAAACTTATTTGAATTGTCCGAATTTCACCGAGTCCGAATTGATTTGACATTTCCGAAAGGAAACAATCGATGAATCGCACGCATTCTATTATTATGCAGCCGAGTAGTTTGTATTACAAATGTTGTTTAATATTTTGTTTTTCACGTTTAAAAGTTAAAAAAAAAACTCCCTAGTTTGATCCAGCGTGTTTGTATTATGATCAAAACAATTTCTGCACTCTTTCATTTAGCGTAGATTCAATTCATGTGTTCTATGCACGGCTTCGGTTATGAGGCCTCGGCTGACAGTAAACTAATAGACGGGGTCACGTGACGCGTCTAAAAATGGAGATTAGAAGACTACCAACTCTTGGAAATCCAATGGACACTAATTGTGCTCCTTTATTAGCCGACCAATCGTCAACTTTCCTTATTTATGAAGCATGAATATTCCGCTATCATCTGCAGATTGTTTTGAAATATCTCAACTTATTCGATGTTGCTTGAAAATCTACGAGCTGAAGAGTGTGTATGATATAGCTTTAAGTTATGAATGCTTCACTCACAATACTGTTTTTAAAGCTTTTTTTTTTTCAATCTGATTATCCTTTGAAAAAGGTGGAGATAAGGAACAGTGTTTATTTTCAAAAGTCCTGTAAACAATACGAATCGTGAACAGGGCAAAAACACTTGTTTATATATATTGTTTGTTTGTTCCTTAACGTCCCTCTCGAGAATTTTTCACTCATATGGAGACGCCATCACTTGCTGGTGGAGGGCTGC